CGCCTTCCCCAGACCCCCGCGACCTATCCATTCTTTCATTTGTAAGTCATCCACTAAATAAATCTTCCTTTTAACTACGTGGAGTGGCCTTTATAACTTTCCCCAATAGCTGGCTCATTCTTTCTCTTTGAATATTTTATTTTTTTAAAATATGTTTTTTAGATGTATTTATTTTGTTTTATGTATATGAGTATTTTGCCTGCCTGTATGTGTGTGCACCATGTGTGTGCCTAGTGCCCTCTGAGGTCAGAAGAGGTCCACGGATCTCCTGGAACTGGAGTAACAGATGGCTGTGGTCTACTGTGTGGGTGCTGAGAACTGAACCCTGGTCCTTTGTAAGAGCAACAAGTGTTCTGGACCTCTGAGCTCCCTCTCCAGCCCCTGAAAAACACATTTTAAAACTGAAATAGAATTATGTCACATCACTTCCTTCCTGCAACCCTCCCATCCTCATTCTCAAGTCTTCTTCTTTGATTATTATTGTTGTGTGTATTTGCATGTACACAAACATACAACACAACCTGCTGAGTCAGTTCGCTTTGGTGTGTGTGTGTGTGTATGGCTTCAGGGCTGGCCACTCTTCGTTGGATAGCCAATAAGGGGGCTCCTCCCTGGGAGGGTCTAATGCTCTTCCTCCCCACAGTCATTATTTACCCGTAGTTCTTTGTCTAGGGCTCTGTGAAGCTCTCCCCTTTCCACGTTAACACGTCCGTCCCTTCTCTAGCACCATGTCTGCCTGCATGCTGCCCTGCTTCCCATCATAGCCACCCCAATTAAATGTTTTCCTTTGTAAGAGTTGCCGTGGTCATGGTGTCTCTTCACAGCAATAAAACCCTAACTAAGACAGCTGTCCAGACATCCTGCTGCAAACCCTGTTTCCATTTGCTAAGAACAAGTCCTTGTACCTGCCAAAGGTTTATTGTTATTTTCAAATGCCTGTATATTGGTGTCCACCACGTGTTTGCACATTGGAATTGCTGCCTGGAAAGTATCTACCTACAAAACTGTTTGTTCCCACAGCTATACCTAAGGGACTAAGGGACTCAGAGGCCTCTCCAAGATGATCACACAAACGAGTATGACATTGCCCGACCTCTGAAAGGCTGTGAGAAATTGTAGGGCCCGCTGGACCTTTCAAAGTATCATCTTGGTTTCAAGCCCACACATGACGTAGTTTCTCCTGCCTCTGAGTACGTGGCTGAATTCTTGCCAATTCGAATTTTTCCACAACACTGTCATGATACAACAACCTTTATCAGGGTGCTGCCACATTGGAACACAGTTCCGGTGCAAAACTGATTCTGATTGGTCAGGTCATATTTGGCTCCAGAATAAACCATCTGTTTATTTCCTTTGATGTAAGAACTGTGTTTTTATACCTGCAGTCTTTGGCCACCAAATGTGAGGCCCCCCTAAAAGACAATCAGCTTCTCATTGTCAGAATCAGCTGGATTAGGACTGGGTGCCAGCATTGTCCTGCACAACATCATCCTGCACTTCCTCATCACGCCCGGATGCTGGTGAGTTCTTTCTCAGATTTACCTCCCCACCCTTCAGATTTGGTTTGTGCTACATTGGTTTATTCTATTTTGAAAGTGTTCTTCATTTGCTTTGTTTATTGTTTTGATTTTGAAGTGTTTGGTTTAAGGTACCAGTTTTGTTGGTTTGCCTTAGAATGTAGGTTTCTGACTGTTCAGTTGGGGTTGGTTGCTTTCGCAACATTCGGTTTATTAATTTGCTAGGGTTCAGACTTTGTCTCTTGAAAATCCTGAAGCGTCTAAATCTATATTTGGCTTCTCTTGTTCGTTGCAACCCTGGAGGGTGTTAATAAAGTGGATACTGATGCTAAAAATGCCTGTCATGAGTTAGGAAACTGCCCGCGTGCTGTGATACCAAAGTTATCCCCACAAATTAACTGCGCCAAGATACAGCCAGGTAAGCTAAGGTCAGAGGAAACTACGCCTGAGCTCTATGTGAGATTTGCAAAAGCGTTGAGTCATCATGTGGGAACTCCCACCCCCAGAACGTTGGGGGTCATGGATGTGATGTCTTGTTAAAGTATTCATTTCTGTAAGGGCTGGAAAAATATTTGGCTATGCTGGTCAAAAATAATCCAGCAGCCGGGCGGTGGTGGCGCACGCCTTTAATCCCAGCACTCGGGAGGCAGAG